GAAGGCACGTGTTATTTTCATAAAATCCGGTATATCATAGCAAGCCTACTTTTTTTTAAATTGTGCTTTAGGTGAAAATTTACAACTCAAGTTAATTTCTCATTCAAAAATGTATACACAGATTGTTTTGTGACATTGGTTGCAATCCCATCAGCAAGCCTACTTTTTGCTATCTAGAACTAATAGTGATTATCAGGATAAATGGTCAGGATTCTGAATACCTGATGGCTACCAGCTGTGACTGGTTCACAAGAGCCGCTTACTAATTTAGGGCTTTAGCGCCACACCTCCAGGTCATCCTGTGTGTCTTCTAATTGCATAGTCTTTGTTCTCTGCCAATTATTAGATATCCAGGAATTTTGAGAGCCAGTTGTTAAACCACTGGTATTTTAAGATCAACAATTTTAGGAGTATTTATTCCGTGGAAATTGGCAAACACCTATAATGACTAATGGGAAGAATGACTCTGGCTTTATCTGCCAGAAATAATCCTGTGGCAATTTTGGCCTTTGTCCATTTGAGCTCTTTCTCCGTGTGCTCCCATTACAGGTTAAAGTATGCCTCTGACAGCCTTTTAGAGCTTGTTTACCCCTCAGTTAACCCAAAAGGTTTAGCAGCTGGGTCTGCGGTCAGCCGGAGGCAGAGTGGTTTCCTAGAGGGAGGAGAGCTGAGAAGTATCAGAGAAGTAACACCTGGAGCTTTGCAAAGCCCCTCCCTCAATCACCAACACTGCTCTCTGTCTTCTCCTGGGGCCAATGAGATGGGCCGTGTCAGTCCCTCAAGACCTTTTACTAATTTCACTTTGAAGTTGCTCCAAAGAACTCTCTGGAGTAGGTCAGGATAGGAAGAAATCAGTTTCTTCACTAGACTGGTGGTTCTTGACTTTGGCTGCAATTTACAAATAGTTAACACACTCAGCTGCTAACCAAAAGATTAGAGGTTGAAGTCCACCCAGAGGTGCCTTGGAAGAAAGGCCTGGTGATCTACTCCCAAAAAATCAACCACTAAAAATCCTATGGAGCACAGTTCTAGTCTGACACACATGGGGTCACCCTGAGTTGGACAACAACTGGTTTTAGCAGCTGACAGACAAAGAAGGACCTCCCTCTAGAGCCAAGCCCTGAATTTGGACTTCTAGCCTCCTGAACTGTGAAAAACTAAATGTCTCCTCTTTAAAGCCAAAAAAAGATAATATTCATTAATGTTATTGAGTCTTAATTTTGCTATGACTCCGCACAATAAACATTTGTTTTAATGATCAAATTAATCCCTTGATCTTGCCCTGAAATTAAAGTCTGAACATATGTATAAATACCATCCTCTTTTTTTCATTTTCTTCTTAATCTGTTTAGTCCCAGCCAGAGGGGCTTCACTCAAGAGTCTGAGTGGAGTCTAGGTTCTGCTTTACCAAGACCCACAAAATGGAGGATTGATGTGCTGGAGAGTTTAAAACAAACAAACAAAAGCCCCCAACAAATATTCAAAACACTCCAGAACCACAAGTGACTGTATCTGCAGCTTACAAACCCTGCATTCCCGCTTTCAAGAACCTATTCATGTCTTACACCCTAGACCAGTGGGTTCACAAAGTAAGGTCCCTGGATAACCAGCAGCAGCAGCATCCCCAGGGAACTTGTTAGAAAATTCTAGGACTGCACCCCAGACTTGCTGAATCGAAAACTCTGGGGATGGGACCAGAGTTTTAACAAGCTTCTTTTTAACAAGCCCTCTAGGTGATCCAGGCTAGTGCATCACACCTGGGTGATGCAAACGGTTAACACACTCGGCTGCTAACCAAAACGTTGGAGGTTCAAGTCCACCCAGAGGCTTCTCAGCTTCTCAGCCATTGAAAATGCTATGGATCACAGTTCTTCTCTGACACACATGGAGCTGCCATGAGTCGGAATTGACTCGATGGCAACTGGTTGGTTGGTTCCAGGTGATTCGGATGCCGCTTGAGAACCAGGGCTCTCCAGAGCCACATAGCTGTTACCATCTGAAGGCCACAGCAGAGACAGTTATATAAATGGGTGGCCAGAGAAAAACCAAAGAGATACCGGTGGTTTTACTTCTCTAGATACAGAAAGATCAATTTCCATATTTTAGAGTCCAACATTTGTGAATCTAAAACAGAATTTTGAGAATTCTCTCATTGAGGCTAACTGTGACACTGAGATCACTATATCTTGACAGAATAAAAACAATCTACACCATGCATTATTCTTTCTCAGCGAGAAAACACTTGAATGCTTGGGCAACAAGGACTGCAACGTTTAGAAATGTCACAGTGGTGTCTCCAAGCGTTTCCCGAGGCCCCCCTTCCTTCCTTTAGTGTCATCTTGAACATTCAAAACCTTCTGAAATCTCATTTTCAGTTCTCCTTCTGTTCTATGTCCCCTCAGCTATCTAATTCTGATTTTTTGTGGGCTCTGTGTAGAGAGGGGTGTTGCCAGCACCCTTATGTGGACCAAGACCTCCGTAATTAAAATGAGCAATGTTCCAAATCAACCTCATGGCCTCATGTGTCCACAACCACAGCCTCTTTGCCACTGATGATAAACAGGAGATGAGGCTAAGGTAGTAGACATAGCCCCCCTCTCCCTTCCCACCAATGCTCCACATCACGGAGCAAAAAGCCTGCATGCCTGCACTCTGGCTATTAGGGGGTTAATGCCTCATTGGCAGAAAGAGCCTCCTTGTGGAAGAGCCTCCTTAGGTAAACATCTGGCTGAGCTTCTAGAGCCTGTGTGGCCTGAAGGTCAATTTCTATTCTGACTACACCAGATTCCATATCCCACTCCCCTCTACCAGTTCAGGAGCCTTCATTGTCATAGCCTTTGTTCCCAGAAACCCAGCCCGCCTAATCCTGGTCCTATGTACCTTGACTCTTGTGTACTGCTCTGTGATGGTTAAGGTTATATGTCAGCTTGGCTGGGCTATGACTCTCATTCGTTTGGCAGTTATGATGTGGTTTGGCAGTTATGTAATGATATAGTCATCCCCCATTTTTGATCTGATGTGAGCAGCTGATCAGTTGAAAGAGAGTTTCCTTGGAGGTGTGGCCTGCATCCAATATAGGTATACATATATATGTTCTGGCAAAGCTTGCTTGCTCTGGATCCTGCATCCGGCTCGACATCATCTGACCTTTGGTTCTTGGGACTTGAGCCAGCAGCCTGCCATATTTCTTGCTGATCTTGGGATTCATCGGCCTCCGCAGCCTATAAGCCAGCACTGAGGCAACTTACCTGCCGATCTTGGGTTCATCAGCCTCTGCAGCTACGTCAGAAGAAGCCTCCAGCCTGATGCCTGACCCATGGACTTGGGACTTGCCAGCCTCTACAACTGCGTAAGCCATTTCCTTGAGATAAATCTCTCTATGTATATATACACTTCACTGGTTTTGCTTCTCTAGAGAACCCAGCCTATGACACACCCCCAGATGTTAGTAGTGATGGGTGGAAAGAAGTCTGGGCTCTATATTGACGTCCCATCACAGCTTCACTGCCCCTGGTTCCAGGGGTCACCCAAGGAGAGCATGCCTTCTTTCTTATTAGCTGGTGAGTTGGTGGCTACATATTGACGTCCGAACTTTTTATTCCTTTCCATCTAAGCCTGTGCGGCCTCCTTGGCCCTTCCTTTCCCTGGAGTCTTACTCTGGTTCCTTTCTTTCTTTCTTTCTTTTTTTGGTACAGCTTTATTGTGGTGTTACTTACACACTATAAAACTCACCCATTTCAACTGCATAATTCAATGATTTTTAGTAACTTTACAGAGTTGTGCAACTGTCACCACAATTTAATTTTGGCACATTTTTCATCACCCCATTTGCAGTCACTTCTGGTTCCTTTTTGGCAACAAGGACATCTGGGCCATCTCTTTCACCATCTCCTGGGAGAGAGGATCCCAGAGTGAAGAATCCAGACGGAGTTCATTGAAAGGAAGAAAGTTCTCTGCACTCTCACCAAAAACCCCACTCCCTCCCTAGACTTGGGCTATCAGCCTTGGCCTTGATCTACTGGAGCACCCCTGCTGGGAGGATGGGAGGTGTTGGAGCTTACCTAGCTCTCATGCACATAAACAGGTCTGTCGGAACTTACAGGTGAAACTGTGAATGTGCCTTTTTATGGGAAGAATGGTTAAGAGCAAAACCTCTTGAGTCAGACTGCCCAGGTTCAAATCCACAGCAGCCATTTATGAGCTGTGTGGTATGGAACAAGCAACTTAGTTCCAGAGCCTGTTTCCTCACATGTAAAATGGAAATCAAAATAGCACACCTGGAGAGGTTGTGTAGGAAATAAATTATGTTCATGAAAAGCATCTTCCAAGTGCCTGGCATGTTACTAAACCCAAACCCACTGCTGTTGAGTCAATTCCGACTCATAACGACCCTATAGGACAGAGTAGAATTGCCCCTTAGGAGTTTCCAAGGAGCGCCTGGTGTATTTGAACTGCTGGCCTTTTGGTTAGTAGCCGTAGCTCTTAACCACCGCAACACGAGGTTTTACTAGTGCTGTATAAATGTTACGATCACTAAAGTTTGATCAGATTTTCAAAGAGGCCTATAAGTCAAAAAAATTCACTCACCACATACAGGTTGGAAGGTGCCACCCATGATAGGGTGCACCACGGAGGGGAAGGGACAGACACTCAGAGCAGAAAGATGGTTGGCAATCCTGGGAGAAAAGAATGGAAAAGTCACATAAGTGGGGAGAGATAAAGAGGCAGCAGGAAGAGGAGCCGGTTAGGGAAGAGAAGTCCAGATCAAGGGCACCCAGTTGCTGTTGACTCCAACTCATGCTGACCCCATGCGTGTCAGAGTAGAACTGTGCTCCATAGGGTTTTCAATGGGTGATTTTTCAGTAGAGAGCCAGGCCTTTCTTTGGAGGCACCTCTGGGTTGACTTGAACCTCCAGCATTTCGGTTAGCAGCCGAGCGTGTTTATACTCCTGCATCACCCAGGGACTCCAGATAAAGAGCAAGTGGTTGAGATATGGGATCAAGGCAGCTGGAGCGTGAAGGGGGGACAAGGAAGTGGAAGGGAGGGGAAGGTAGTACAGGAGAAAATCTGGGGAGGAAGCTTCCTGATTAACCTGTGGTCTCAGTACACTCTTTGAAGACTGACATGGTCTCTTCTCACAAGGGCCAAATATAGGTGCTGGAATTTAGAGCTAAACAGCCACACATAGGGCTTGAGTCAACAGCTTACCCTATTTTGCCCAACTATCACTTTGGCTTTTGAGCCTATCTCCTCATCAAAAAGTACATGTTTCATTTCTGTGGGTCCTGTGGAAGGCTTCTGGGGTCTAGCCCGGGCAGCTGAAGATGACAATGCAAAAGTAGCTTTGGGGACAGCCTGTTACAGTGGTGCTCCACCAGCTGGTATTAGTTCTTTTGGTCCAAATGTGTGGGCACTCCATGCAGTACAGGACGCAGATGCTGCTACACAGATGTAGAGGACATGGGGGCTGGCCTCCCCCCGCAGCCAGACAGGTAGCCATCACTTATAAAAACACAACACACATTGGGTTTTAATGAGAAAATAATTGTATACTTGCACTGAATGCCTCACAATCACTATAAAACCGAAGCAGGCTAATAACATTTAAGTGGTTAACATTACACAGGAAAGCCAGATACAGAGTATAATTTTCAAACACAGTATTGCTGCTTCTTTCCCTCCTCCAAAAAATATATGTATCATTTGGGTAAAGAGCAACACAAAATCAAAATTGGCAGCTCACTGAATGCTTAAAATTCAGATGGATTCTGTAACTAAAACTGGATATTTCACCATCTCTAACATTTATGCTATTTTTCCCCCAATACATAGTTTAATTAAATCCATTCTTTAGTTGGAAAAAAATTTAAAATTCTTTGTCTTCAGAGACAAGAGTCGACACTGCTTCCGTGTTCTTTGTTATGCTTTATATATATATTTGTGTGTATATATGTGTGGACACTGACCTATATACTGCTTATATATTGTTGCCTGGGGTGGGCAGCATGCAGGAGTACAAAGACGCAGGGAAATTGCATGGCGTCATCCAAGTAGAACACAGCCCAGCCTCCTGCCACTGACAGACCCTGTTTCCATAATTTCTGGATGAGAGAGTCAAGGCATGTCAGTAATCAGCTCCGGAGGAAAGTGACGTCATCTATAAACACTGTAGAGTGGAATACTTTCAGGAAGGCTTTTAACATCTATGGAATCTAAACATTCGTTATAGTTGAGATTAACAAGCTTGCGTGCTACTGGGGGTGGGGATGAGCATCAGAAGCGAAGTTTTTCCCAAGCCTCCATCCCTCGATAGATTAGGTAGGAATGACTTTCCTCTAGGCTCTGTTCCATCTTCAGGAAGTTACAGGGGTTCTTCTGGGATCCCGGAGCCTAGCATGGTGCTATGTACAAAGTGGCGGCCGAATGTTTCTTGAAGGAGTAAAAAACTCAAGAGCGCAGAGAAAATCTGGCTCTTCCTAGAGAACTGTAATTTACACTTTGATAGGATTATAACAGGATCATTAGTGAGTGGGGCAAGGAAATCCACAGCAGTCATCTGGAAGGCAGCACAGGAGAAGGAGCTAAAGTCAGAGATACAGGGGCCACAGGTAAACAGTTCTCTGACCTTATCTAAGCGTATAGATGGTGGACCAAAGGACCCACCCCTAAAATTCTAAACTATTCCTTAAGTAAGTGCCTCTGGTTCAATCAAAGTCAAAGACCAGTTTGTCAGTCTGCCTCTAAAGCTATTCAGTTAATTGTGTGGTCTCCTAAACTTTCCTTTTGGCTGCAAATTCTCTTCTCCAATGTAGGTTTAACGTGAGTACATGTTTTCCCGCAAAAAAGCAAAACCAAAAACACTTAAGGTAAGTCATGAGGACTGTTTCCTCTTGTGAAAAATGAGGAAATTAGCCCACATCATCTCTATGGTCTCTACCAGATCCTGGAGTCCAGAAAACATGAAGCACTTGTTATTTTTTTGTGCAGCCCATAGAACTACCTTGCTCTCCAGCCACCCTAACTGTGGGCTGTGCCCTGGGGCACTGATGCTGCTGCCTCATCCACGGGCCTGCCTTGGGAACACCCTCTTCTTGTTGGGTCCTCAGCCCAGGCTTCTGGGACTGCTGGCTGGAGATCCTCAGGCAAAGATAGTCCTCTCACCTGAGTGCTCCCACTCCACCTTCCAGGATTTCTTATCTAACATAGATCTCATTTTCCTGGAACTGTGTGTCCCCATGCCAGCCTCCCCACCAGAAAATGGATTCCTTACAGTGGGGATCTTACTTGTTTTGTGTTCTCTATGGCTCGCTAGCGTGTTTGATTGACTCCTATTCAGAGGAATGAACCACATAAAGATGGTACCAACTGCCCATATGCTGTTCTTTGTTACCGTTTGTAGAATTTGTCTTCCAATTACAGATTCCCTTGGCAGTTTGAAAGGATCCTTGTAAGTTATTCGACAGTTCCATTCTTGCTGTGTGCCCACCATTTGTCTGTGACTAAACTTTCCCCCAAAGTCAACACGAGTCTAACAAAAGAAGCAAAACTAATGTGCGTTTAACACTACATACAAATTTTGTGGAAGTGCTACTTGTCAGAGTAACGTACTAAAGCTTGTGACAAACTGCATGAAAACAAAAATGAATTTCAGTGAGGTCTGACTTAATTATTGCTTTTTGAAAAATCATAGTTTTAAAGCTGAGAGAAGTAAAAAAGGGGAGGGGGGCTGGTGAGTTTTTCTCATGGCCAGAACTGAACATTTTTCTCATCCAGAAATTCAGGGCACCCAATTATTGAATACCCTTATTGTATTGCTTTAAATGACAGAAAGAGTAAAGCTGGCATCCTCTATAGTATACTAAGCATGAATACAAATCATGAGAATAAATACAATACTTTCCTAAGTGTCAAGTTACAAAACTGCTCAAAATTTTGCAATTGTGACTCATGCAAATTCAATTTAATACTACAAACACTGCATCAACTCGGTGCCTTTATACTCCTTTTCATAAAAAAGAAATTCTCACTCACTCCTCAAGCTGGTAAACAGCTTTGAAGGAAATAACTATACACCCATGTCCCACGATCATTCTGGAATTTTAACCCTCACACACACCCTCACTGATGAACATACATACTTGATAGAAACATACAAAGGTGCACATACATGCACACGCACACACACACGCGCGCGCGCACATACACACGCACGCACGCACGCACGCACACCATCTTTAGGATTTGTAGCTGATTCCAAGCCTGAACTTAAATTTCTATTCTATATTTTTCTCCATCATCCTGAAAAACACTTGTTGTTAGCAAAAATAATCTCTCTTGCTTTCTTATTTTCCCCTCTTCAACCCTCCGGTCTTCTCTCTCTACCTTCGTGACCTTTCTTAAAATTTTCCTTTCTGATTGCTCCATAATCACCCATCATTCTTCCTACCACCTCTAAGGCCCACTTTATTATATAAAATATCGTTATAAACACCTTTTTATTTCTTGTCATCTATCCCTCAAGGCAGAGTTCACCCTTTTTTTCCAATTATTGCCACTCTAAAAATACCCCACCATCTTGAACCAAGCTGTTCAATGCGTACAGATTTTATACATATATTCCCCCATCCCATCATAAAAATAGTTGTTGTCCACTAAATACAGTTTTTGTATGAAGAAATGTAAGTATGAAAATGTGTTCTCATAAATGGCAGATCAGTTAATATTATAAACAGACAAGATTCTAAAGCTAAAATAATCCATTTGGTTTGGCTTTCTCCCCCTTTTTCAACCTCCCAACATAGATTGTGTTTACAACATGAAGAAATATTGTCTTAAAAATGTGGATTTTATGAATTGCAATCATTAATTGCTCCCAATTAAAAACAATTAAATGTAAGAGAAATGGAATCATAACTGCCTCTTCTGAGAAAATATGGAAAGAAACATCGTTCATTTTATGGCTGCTGGAGTAAACAGGGTTAACCCAACACCTTTGGTGCTGCAAGTGGTGGGTGGGAACGGGTACAGAGAATGCCCCGGTTAGGCAGACTGCCCGGGCCTGGGTCCTACTGCTCCCTAAATGCCCTATCACCACCACTTGTTCTTCCTCATCACCCAGTGAGGCAGGTCTCAGTTCTACCTGTAGTAACCATGTTGATTTGCTTGTAACTTCTTTGTCCTTTTTAATCAATCGTGGATTGGTCCCAATCCAGACAATTCTTTGAGTCACAAAAGGAAAAAAAAAAAAAAATCCTTTCTCTTTTGACTCCTGGGTGTCAGAGTTTGATGGGTGGACTTCCTTTTCACATTATTCATTTTTCATCACTATCTATTGCAGCTTCTGGTCTACATAAGGATTGCTGAGTTTGGTTGCACTTCAATAAATACTTCATGAAAATGCTTTGACTGATTAATTTCTTGGTTTCTTGGCATCCCAAGCACCAAAGAAGCTTCCTGGGTTGAAAGAAGTTTATTCGTTGTCCTCTTCCTCCTGGTTGGCATAGATTCCTGCCTCCCAGCGCAAGGCCAGTGCGCTCTTTCTTCGATTCACCCGTGTGGCCTCAAGGACCTGAAGGGAGAGGAAAAAAAAAAAAAAGTACAGTTCATGGAATATTGATTATGTACACAAACCAACTTCTACTATTTCTTTCCTTCTTTCCCCTTCTCAACAACATCTACGTGACAGGGGATGGTAAGGGAAAGTAATGAAGTATCTGGTACTGCTGGGAGGTAGGAGAGGCACTCGGAAAAAAAGTGGGTCTGTGTGTGTATTAATCCCATAGCCAAAATTCATTTGCTATTTGATCCACAGCTTTCAATAGAGAGGTTTAATTTTCAGGAAACGTTCTAGAGGTTTCTTTAAACTAAACTTTACTCTGCATCAAGTTTTTTTAGATAACAAAACAGATCTCTACCTGCTATAGATCATTGCTTCCCAAAAGACCTTTCTGTGATGATAGAAATATTCTGTATCTGGGTTGTCCAATACATTGTCACTAGCTACATGTGGCTTTTAAATGCCTGAAATATAGCTAGTGTGGCTGAGAAACTAAATATTTGATTTTAATTAATTTAAATGTAAATAGCCTCATATGGCTAGTGACTACCACACTGGACAGTGTAGCTATAGATTGTCTTGGTCTCTTTATAAACAAGCAGACCAGAAAATTCCAAACATTTGGACCAGTGTGGATTTAATTCATCAAGTCTTGTGGAGCCACGTAAGCTCTGATCATATTTATAACACAAAAGTCTACACAGGCATAAGGACACTTCAAAGAGGCATTAAATGAAAAATAAAAATAAAAAAATCAAGGAGCAAAATAAAATAGCTTCTTGGGCCAATAAAAAGCAATCTGGGCATTTTGATGCAGCGTCAGTGCCATAGGTGCGGGTATCTGACGTTACAGGTGACGACATCGAGGACAAGTAGGCTCGCTACCATCAAGGTAGTGCTACCATCCCTCCAGCTCTCTAGAATAGTCTGTGGGCTCCTAAGGAGAGATATCAGGCAGTCTCTGCTCTAGCTTTAGTTTGATCACGATGAGATTCCAGACAAATGACATTTAGGTTACCAACATCTGAGAAATGGTTTAATTTCATGATACTGCAGCAAAAGCAAGCCCACGAATGCCAACCAATAACTGTAGAGTTAGCTTAGGGTGTACAGTAAATTCCAGCAGAGCCAGCACCGGTGGATTATCCAAACTGCAATGAAGGTCTGCTTATTCTAAGACCAATCATTTTGGCAAGAGACAGTGATGTTGGCAACCTTCAAGAAGCAAGGAGATGCAGGTTACAGGCAATGGTGGGAGCCCAGGCATAAGCCGATTCTGAGTAGACTGAAGGTCTGTGCGTCCATCTCAATCTACTTTTCTATACCTTCGTTAAATGGAGGAACTTTCCAGTGCTTCAATGTGCTTTCCTTTGGGAAGCCTTTCCATTCCTCCTAGCAGGAACAGCTGGACCTGGCATGGATCCTACATGCAGGATGTACTCAGTCACGTTTGTTGAACACATGATGCCTTGTTAAGCACATAAGCCATGTCACGAAATGTCTTATGTGTAAGTACACCATGGGTACTTACTCAATATTTAAGAGATACAAATTAGTAGAAGAGAAGCATGCTTCCAAATCTGGTGTAATTCAATAGAGGATTTTTCTGGTCAACGCATGGTAATATGGTACTGAGAAACAGCACTGGACTGGACTTGGGAGTCCTCAGTTCTATTTCCAGTTCTGTCTGTTATTGTTCATGGGATCTTGTGTCTCAAGTTTCTTTATCTACAGTATGGAGACAGCACCTGCCCTGCTTCTTCACAGGCTTTCTTGGAGAAGGCAGTATAGACTCTTCAGCAGACCTAGGTTTCAATCCTAGTGACTGTGTGAACTTGGGAAAGTCATTTACCCCTATGCCTCAGTTTCCTTATATGTAAAATGAGGATAATAAAAACTACAGCACAGAGTTGTCCTGAGGACTAAATGAGATAATGAGCATAGTTTCTGGTGCTATGGTAAGCTCTCAAACAATGATAATCACTGATCTTATCATGTGAAAGGGCTTTCTAAACTATAAAGTGGTGTTCAAACATACAGCATTTTTATAAGGAGTTCTATATTGTACAAAATAGTCATCTGTTTGTCTTGCAGATTGCAGATACAAACTGCAAAAAAAACAAAAAAAAGTTAAAAACAAAGGTGCTGAAAAACACGGTCCCCTCCTTTTCTAATGCTTTTTATCTTGTTATTTAAGCCCTATTTTAATTCTCAACCAAGTTGAGAAAATTTAGTTTGCTCTGTTCTTCAGGAACCCATATTCCCATTCATCTAACAACTATTCATTGGATTCCTACCAAGTGTCAGGGACTGTGCTTGGTGTTGGGGACAGAATAATCCCTTCCCTCAGAAGCTTAGTCACAAAAAAGTCTAATGGGCAGAAAAATGATATTTATAAATATGGAAACATTTAACATAGCAGGGCTATTTGTAGGAGCCCAAATAATCCATTTATGCTAACTAAGAGCTCTCTTTTCCTAATTCACTCCGCTAATTTGCATGGCCAACTTAACATGAGTCTGAATTTTTGATGCAATCTAAAGCTTCTAGTAATGGCAGAGACAAGAAAATAAACAAACGGTTATTAAAATGGCCAGCAACACAACCTTGCTATAAAGCTGTCTTTGGATTCACAAGGCTTATCAACCAGGATGGTCTCAGGGGTGAAGCCAATCTTATAACTGGCCTTTGAAGATTCAAAAGCCAAGTCCTCAGAGAAGGTGTGTGAATGTGGATTTGTGCCATAACTAATTCAGACTACTATATTAGATGTGTGTGTGTGAAGTACTATATATCTCTAGCAAATTTAGGGCTCTTATTTTATTACTGTGGATTAGCTTTACTTTCTTGTCTGGGCAAAAAAAGCACTTACCTCTGGGGCTTTGATAATAGCAAACACTTGTATCATGTATGCGATGGACCAGTTACTGTTTTAATTCTCACTAGTACTCTATGAGATTCATGCTATTATTACTCCTATCTTACATATGAGGAGGCTGAGGCACGGGGAGTTTAAGTAACTTGCCCAATATTACAAAGCAGGAGGAAAGCCCAGATTTGAACCCAGCACTCTGGGTGTGGAGTCCATGCTCTAGGCCACCATGCTACACTGTCACTCAGTGACTGCCAAGCATAGAGCCTAGAGGAAGAAGCATTAGAGGAAGGGAACCAACACTCACTGTGGAAACAAAGAGGGGAAAAAAATAAAAGAAAGACTGATTTGAGGTTTTATAGGTTTCAAAATTTAATTCAGATTCAGGTGTGGTAGGGGGAAAAAATCAATTCTCTCTTAACCCTCTAATATATTTTCTCTCTAATGCTTAAGGAATTCAAGCAAATTGATTAACTTTGAATAGCAATCATAGAAAATTTTGTTTTGGAGGTGTGAAACCAAAGATAGATAAATAATACCAGTTACCCTACTTACACTTATATTAATATTATATTTTTATCCCCCCAGTCCCTCTTCCACTGAAAACAGATTGGGCCCAGTTATATCTTCTTTGGATATATTCGACCAAATTTCACTGTTATTAACTATGCTGATTCAAAGGGGATATGGGCTTAGGGGCTAATTCTCAAATTGCTATCCCCTAGCTGAGAAGCATAATTAGACAATGAGGAGGGTACATACAGTGATATTCTCAATATTCACTTCGTACCTTACAAAAGAAAATTATTGATAATCCTCAGTTCAGATCTATAGTTAACTGTAATTATTCCTGCTAAGTAGACAAACTTTTAAAAAATGTATTATGTTACAGGTTGGTTCAACCAACTACAGGTTAGTAAAAATCAATTGCAAATATTTAGTGAACGTGAGGATGTAGAAGCCCCATACCAAGTGCTTTCACTCCTAGACCAATAGAGAGAAATTTTTCCGTAAGTACACAAAGAGGCATGTATGTAATGTTCACTTAAGCAGTGTTCGTAATTGCAAAAGAAGTAAACAATCTACATTTCCATCAATAGGAGGATGAATAAATCACGATATAGTCAATTCAACGGAATACTATACAACAGTTATAATGAATGAACTAGAACCACAAATATCAACATGGGCACATCTAAAAACAATGCAGAAAGAATAAAGAGCAGAGGCTACAACGAGACACCATTTACAGAACATTTTAAAACATGCAAAAATAAGATATTGTTTATGTATATATACACATATGTGTAGTATAAGTATAAAAACATGCATAAAAATCATGAACACCAAATTCAAGAATAGTTACCTCTCAGGAGGGAGGGAAGGAGAGAAGGAGGGCAGGAGAGACGGGGGGAGAGAGAGAAATGGGAACTGGGAGAAGTGACAAGAGGGCTTCAATACCATTTGCAATATTAATTTCTCTCAAGAATATTTAGCAAATATTATAAAATGATAAGAATAGACTAAGCCAGATAGGTAAGCTTTATTATTTTATTATATTATTGAAACATTCAGATGCCAGCTCCATGACATCAGGGACTTTGTTTCATTGAGTGCTGCATGGTTCGAACCTAGAACAGTGCCTGGCACATAGTAGGTCCTATATAAATTGTCAATTGAGTGAATGAATGAATGATTCACTCTATAATTCTGTATACTTGAAAACAATATTTTAAAATAAAAAATAATAATGCTCTAGGAATAAAAAAAATGCTCTGAAAAAATCGTGCTTTCTCACAGCACAACCACTTGTGTAACCTATAAAAGGAAGTGGTAGAGGAAGAAGGAAGTCTTTTGGAAAATCCAATGCTTAAAGAAGCTTACAAAACAAAAATATAGGTTTAAAGATCTGAGGGAAGGGGAACTGGGATGGTTCACACTTGGAACAACTCATCCAAAAGCTATGGAATGAAGCTCTCTGGACTTGTGTGAAAGAAAACAAAGGGCTGGTCAGAATCAACAGCTCAGTCAGCTTGAACTGCATTTTTTTTCCAGCCAGACCTGAGTATATTTGCTATCAGTGCCCAAGGAAATGAAAGAAATCCAAATAGCTCATCAGTTATGCCCTCCAGCCCAAACG